AGCGGGCCGCGATGGAATCGGCTCGGTCGTTGGCGCCCCCCCGCGCCCGCCCCCCCCTGCAAGCCGACTCCTCCTAGCTTGACCCAGCGCCCTTCAGCAAGGTCGGCGCCTTCGGAAGGTCAACCTCCCCCGTCGTGAGCCGCGGGGGCCCGCGGCCGCGCGAGGCGCTGCGCGGCCTTCCCAGACCCCAACGCCGTCGTCGCAAAGGTCCACGAAGCACTGGGCCAGGCCGTCGCCCAAGCGGCTCAGCGGCTGCAGGTCGAGCTCGCGAACTGCGGCTGCGTGCCTCCCGAGCGTCGCAATCGCGGCCGTTGCCATGGCCAGCGAGTCGCGCCTCGGGGCGCGGATGGGCCCCGCTCGGCGCGGCGCTGTCGGCTGGCGCGGGCGGCCTCTGCCCGGCGGGCGCTGCCTGCCAGCGCGGGAGGGCCCTCCAATGTCGCGGGTGTTCGTCCTGACCGAACTGGACTAGCGGGCCCCCGCGGAGGCGCGCGTCGGCTGCCCGGCAGCGGGCGCTCGCCGCCCTCGCCGCGCAGCGCCCGCCCTCCAGTCTTCGGCTGACGGCTCGGAGGAAGCCATGGCGGATCTGCCGCGGGTCAAAATCCCGCGCGCCCGCGAGCGCCTCCGCAGGGGGCGCGGCTGCCCGTGGAGCAAGGTGCCCGCGCAGTGCGATGGCGCGCTCGCGCTGAATGCGAGGTCGGCCCCCCCAGGCCCGAAGAGCCCCAACGTTCGTAAGTGTCCGAGTCGGTTTCCGATAAGCCGTTCCACGCATGCCGATGTCGAAGTTAACCTCTATGACGTTCGGGGGCCCACGAAGTCGAGCGACGGGGTCGAAGTTTCACGGCCTCGAAGTCGCGGGGTTCTCCGCGCGCCAGCACCACCCGCGACGAAATAGCACGTGACATAGCGTGGCCGTGAAGAGCGCGAACTTTACCCCAAGACGCCCCCGCGCTCGTGCTCGCGCGCGGTTCTGAGTCCCCCGCCGCGCGGTACTCCAAACTTGACAAGGCGCCCCCATATGCACATGCACCAGACGACCCCTTCGGGCCGAGCCCGGGATAAACCGCTGCGTGCTTCGCCGAGACAAATGTCTACAGGATTAGCAAAAGGGGCCCAATCCTCCTGCGCGCTCGAGCGAACTGCCCGAGTCCACCGAACAGCACCAAACAAGAAAGTGATTGACCTGGCTCGTTCTCAATTGCAAGGCAGCGAACAGATGAATGAGACGCAGACAATGAAGATGACGGGAGAAAGGGGCGTTCTGTCAACTCGCCCTCGCTCGCAGGGTGCCAGTCCGCAAGTCGCGGGCCGTGGGCGGCGGGCGCCGCCGTGCCGGGCGCGCCCCGCGGGCGCCCAGCTGCCGCGGGAGGCTGCCCCCGCGCCCTGCTCTGCGACGCAGGCCGCTCGATGTCCCACCGGCGCGAGCGCCCAGCTGCCGCGGGAAGCCGTTCCCCCGCATTGGAATCTGCGGTCTGGCGACTGGATGGGTCCCTGGGGCTCCTCCAGGCGCAGGAGGCTGCTCCCGCATCAGAATCTGCGATTTGGCGGCTGGATGGGCCCCCGCCCCCCCCCCCTCCCTGGCGCCGGAGACAGCTCCCGCGATGGAATCTGCGAGGCGGGCCCACTGGAGTCGCACTGGCGCGAGTCGAGGTCGCTCGGGTTCCGATCCACCTCGCCGCATCGGCGCCGCCGCGCGATCTGGCCCCCCGGGCGGTAGGCGGCCGCGCGCCGGCACGGCTGCAGGCCCGCGCCGGGGCGGCCCTTCTCGAAGGGCCCCACGGCGACCCGGCTGTCGCTGAGCGCGAGCAGCTTCAAGACCAGCAACTTGACGGAGCGGCGGTACCTTCGCAGCCCCATAGGGGCCACTCTCGCCCCCTTCAGATTGACGCGCTCGCCCTGCCAGCGCCCGCAGCAGGCCGCCGCCAGCTGGCAGCGCCGACGCGTCGCCCAGCCGTCGGCCAGTGCGGGGTCTCGGAGCCGAGGGCCACCCCAACGCAGGACCCTTTGGCAGGCGCGGCAGAGGCCGGCGGCGGCCGAGGGCGAGCCGCGGCCCGGCCCCGGAAGTCCCGGCCGAAGGCGGCCCGGGGGCCCGTCGCCAGGCCCGGCGCGTCGCCGCGCACGTAATTGAAGCCCTCGCTCGCCTGGCCATCGAACGCCGGGGCCTCCCGATATCGCGGGCGCTCTCGCCACTTCCACGCCGCGCGGATCTCCTCGGGCTCAGCCTTCGCCACATGCAGCGCGTAGCCGCGACTTGAGGGGCCCCCGAGTAGCCGGCGTCGTCGCGGCCGTCAGGATCGCACGACCTGGCGCCTCCTGGGCCGGAGGCGGCAAGCCCTCGTAGATGTCGGCTGCGGGGGGGCGACGCCCGGGCTGCCGGCGCCGCCCCCCCCCCGCAGCCCCAAGGGGTGTCATCCCTCCTCGCCGGCGCCGCCACCGGCGCCGGCCGCTCCTTCCTTCGCCTCCTTGGGGCGCCGCTTCGGGTCGGGCTCGAGGCCGTCGCCGCCCTCGCCGTCGCCCTTGCGGATCTGCCTCTGCTCCTCGACGTCCAAGCCGCGGGGTGGCGTGGGTTGCGCTCGACCGCGATCTCCGTCTGAGTCATCCGGCGCACAGGGAGCTCCGCGGAGGCCAACATCGATAGGTCGACCTGGTCCCAGGAACGCATCAGTCGGATCACCTGGCACAAGTTCCCGTGCGCACGGTTGACCGCCGAGCCCTCGCCGACGCCGACGAGCCTTTCCCACTCGGCCTGGCACGAAGACGCGTTGCCAGGCCCCGGGGCCACGCTGCCCAGGAACTCCTTCGCGCTCCCGGCGCCGGCCAGCGGGAAGTTCGGCGGCCCCGCGCCCCGCGTCAGCGCCACCGCCTCTGACAATCGCAGGCCCCTCTGGCCCGCCTCGTCGCCGCGGTCGCCCAGGGTGCGTGCGTCCCCGAAGTCGTCCTTCATGTCACGCTTGAAGTCTGCTAGGCTGCTCGCCGCGATCTTCTGCACGACAACCTCCTTCCCGTCCAGAACCGCCGCGCCCTTCTGGTCGACGCCTGTCCCGCGGTTCTCGTCGTCCATGAGCGCCGCGTCGACGACCTCGCCAAATCGGTCGGAGCGCGGCTCGGCCACCGCCGAGATCATCCATTCGATCGCGCCCACCTGGCCGACGCCCAGCACCCGGCCCTGCAGCATAGCGCGGCGGCGGAAGGCGGCGAGGGCCGCCCCGCCGATCGGGCCGCGGGCGTACACTTGGTCCGCCAGGTGGGCGGGGAAGGGCGCGCGCCGCTCGAGCACCTCGTGGCGCGTGTCCACCTGCTTTACGCGGACTAGGTCGTGGTCTGGGGTGGAGCGGATCCAGGTGTCCTCAACTCACCCGAAATGGCAGCACTCGGTGGCGCCAGTTCTCGTGCCGCGCCAGAATCTGCGGGCCCGCGATGCCCGGCGTCAGCACGTCGGCCATGGCGACGGCTGGGCGTCGAGGGGCAGCTGCCTCCAGTCACCGCCGCCAGCGGCGCCTCGGCGCGCTCCTGCGCGGCGCCTGGGGCAGCCCCGTCTGGCGCCCGCCCGCGCGCGCCGCAGCGGCACCGCCTGCAGACGCCAGCCAAGAATCCCAGCGCCCCGGCGGCCGGGGTCGCGAGGCCGAGCAGCAGCAGCCTGGCGAGCAGCAGGCACCGCGGCGCCCAGACCTCCGCCTGGAGGTCGATGATGTGCTGCAGGTCCTCGTCGCAGGAGCAGTGGCACGCCTCCTCCGAGCCGCAGCTCGGGGGCGAGGGCGGCAGCCAGACGGGCGCCGCGGGGGCCGGCGTCCAACCCCAGGACCAGCGCGCGCCCAGGGTGGCTCTCCAGGCGGTCGCCAACCGTTGCCCACAGCGAGGGCGGCCCGCCTTCCATCAAGGCCAGCCGAACGGAGGCCTCTCGGACGTGAACCACCGCGTTGCGGAGGCACGCGAGGCTTGCATTGAACCTGGCTGGCGGGAAGGGGCCAAGGGGTATTCATGTTAAGGCCCAGTAAGACGACTGGCGTGCTGACCCCCCCCCTTCGCGACAAGAGGTGCGTCGCGCATGCGTCGCCCGTGCGCCGCCCGTGCGTCGGCCGCCGAAAAGGCCAGCCGTCCTCTCGAAGGTGCACGTCGCCCTCGCACGGGGGCAATTTGGTGAGTGCGTCGCCAGCGCGGCGGACACCCACGGAACGGATCGCACGCGCGTCGCCCGCTCCACGGCCGCTGAAAAGGCCAGTCGCCTTCGGGAAAAAGAAAGTCGCCCACGCTGCGGTCCTCTCGGCGAGAAGAAGGCGGCCGCTGGGCTACCTCGGCAGTTCAGCAAATCCCTCTAACATGACAAATGCAGCGATGCTGCTGAACGCACCCCGGCGCACCCCGGCCTTAACAGGTATTCGCGCCTTTGATGATACATCCTTTAAATACACGAGGCCCCCCGTTGGCCCAAACCGAAGAATATTCGAGGGTGCCCTCCCCCAGGACGCACAAGAACGTCCCACAGACACGAAATACACCAGGGTACCCTTCCCGAACCCACCTGAATCATATACCTCGGTCCGACTGTATCAGTACTGCTCGCAGCAATCATGGCGGCGCACGTGGGGGAAACCAAAAAGTACCGATACCGCTACTCCCCGGACCTCTCCTGGGGCGCGTTCTGACCAGGATTTCGACGCGAATCCAGCCGCGGCGACGAGGGCCACCCAGGAGGCCCACAAAAGGGGAGAACGGGGGAAGGGCAGAGACAGCTCTGGGCAACCATCTTGTCGTCCTCTGGGCAGGGAGAAGCCGGAGCCGCGGCCGCATGCTGTCCCCAGACCCCCTCGAGTAATGAAAAAATCATGACGGGAGGTTTTTCCTAATTTTCGGCCTCCGGGGGCCCTCACCGGGCCTCGGGAGCGTCAAAAAACGACTCAGGATGCAAAGCCGGTCATGGGGAAAGGGTCGGGACCTCTGGGGGTCGACGTAATGAAAAAATCATTACGTCGGGGGTCTGGGTCCACCGCCCCCCCGGCCGAGGCCTGGCTGGCGCACGTCGAGGAGCGCCAGTCTCTGGTCGAACGCGGCGGAGAGCAGCACGGCCTGTCGCGAGCAGCTGAGTACCGTTTAACCGATCCCCATCCCCAGCGGCGTGGCCTGGGCCCCACTGGCCGATTTACCCCCCTAGATGGGGATATAGGTCGTTCTCTTTGGGTTTCTAGGGGTGTATCCCCATCTGGGGTGGTAATTTGGTGGGGGTCTTGAAGGCGTTGAAGATGGGGATGGGGATAGGATAAACGATACCGAGCAGCAGCAGAAGCAGAGGCAGCAGCAGGCGCCTCGCACCGCTCCAGGGCGGCCGGCGGCGGCTCCCGGCAGTCGTGGCCGGCAGGGGGGCCCGGAGCAGCAGAATAGTCTTCCCCCCCCCCCCGTCCTCCAACAAGCACCGCCCCTCCCTCTCATCCTCGACCCCTCCCATCCCATCTTCCTGCTCCGCCCCCTCACTGACTACCTACCAGGCCACCCCAACCCAACCCGAAAACCCGAATCTGACCCGAGTTTCCGGTTGGGGGGGGGGGGGGGGCGGATTCCATGTGTTCTTTAATGTTCCCCGACCCCCCCCCACTGGAAATGCAGGGAAAACCGAGGCCTTCGGGTTGGGTTGGGGTCGTTTGGTGGGTGGCGACTCACCCTCCTCCTGTGGACACATTTCCTCCCTCGCACTCTCCCCCCCCCACGTCCTTCATCTCTGCCTCCCTCGCTCCCGTACTCAATCCTCCCTCCAGCTGCTTCCTCTTCCCCCCATCCGCCATCACCATCCCTCGTTGCTCCTCCTCCTTCTGCTCCTTCTCCCCTTTACCTGCACCCTTTTCTCTGTCGAGACAAGCCTGCTCTGTGGGGTGCCATTTCACGCACTGGACTTTGCTGGAGTGGTGCGTGTAAGTGTGCACCTGGCTAAGCGGGCGAATCCCAAAGGGAAGATACCGAGAACGCCCTCCACCTTCCAGGGCCTTACGCCTATTCCCTCGTACACCTCCGCAACCCTTGCCGCTGATCCTGCTTCGACTTCGACTCTGCACCCGTATCAAATGGACCCGTTGCCGAACGCATTCCTACGCGTACGAATAGACCAATTTCCAATATTACCATTCCCGCACCCAGCACTCCCCGCCAATCCCCATCATCGGTGTCCTCCATCACATCCCACGTGATCTTTCGTGCGCAATATGTTCAGAGCAGCAAGATGCAACGGCAAAGGAACGCGTTATAACCAGAGTTGACGGCAGTGAGCGAGGAGGTAGCGGGGATACACAAAATATGCGAATGTGTTCCGCCGACCTGGACACCACGTAACTGCATGTTCACGCTGACTGTACATGTTTCCATATGACCCCCAGCGCCAAAACATGAATAAAGCTAACCGCTGACTTGGGTCGTAGCTTTGGCGTTAGTGCTCACAATGGCTTCAGCCTCAAAGTCAGCCACCGTACCATCGCATGATAGGACCTGTTGGAATGCAACCCCATGCTAGCAGCACCGCTAAGACACATCGCACCTCACGCTTGCTCTCTGGCGATATTCATGGCTTCAAAATGGCTAGGGATCGCTCCACGACGGCTGCATGAGTTCAAACACGACCCAAAAGACAGAGACCTCAAGATGATCTCAAGACGCCGTCATGCAATCGAAGACACCAAACTAGATCTCCATTCGATCTTGCATTCGGATTTAACTCGCAAAAATGACTTGCAGAAGGTGTTACAACGCCGTAGGACAACCCCAGAGCTCTCTCCTCCATGCCGCACAACTCCATCCCTCCTCCGTCCTCCCCCTTCCGTCATCCCCTCCCCGCCCATCTCTTCTCCCCTCCTCCGTCCTCGTCTTCCTCCACCTCGTCCCAATGCACGTAAGTAATCCTGCTCGGTCTTGTGATGCCCCTCCTGTTTCCAGAAAGAAGAGCTGTGCACGACTGCGTTCTGGGCAACGTCCCAGATCTTGAGCGTCTCGTCAGCAGAACCGCTCGCCTGAAGACCGCAGGTGCAAGAGGCGTGCGCGCGGTACACTTCCATCCCAACTGGGTCTTCGCCTCATCATCGTTGCCATCGTCGTTATCGTCATCATCACCATCGTCATAATCAACAGCAGCATCCCCATCACCCAAATCGTCATCACATCACCATCACCCAACTTGTCAGATTCATGACAATCACCACCACCAGCATCACCACCATCATCATCATAACCATCATTCGGGGATGGACAGACCTCCCTTTAGTAAAACGTGGTTTAGTGAAAACGACCTGAGGCCCAAACCTGGCGGGCGCAGGCCTGGAAAATAACGGCCACGGCGCCCTCTCGAGAACCGAAAACGGACAATTCACTAATCGACGTGTCACTGTTGGGGGTTCTGTCCAGCCCCGAATCATCACCACCACCACCATCACCATCGCGCCATTACCATCACCACCACCACCACCACCACCACCATCACCACCAGCATCGTCATCCTTATCACCACGAGAGGGTCGGGGCGGCCACCCG